AACGCGGGCTCCCCCTGGTCGCAAGCAGTATAAACACATTTTAAATTCTTAGTACAAACACATTTTACATTCTTGGTACAAACACATTTTACATTCTTAGTACAAACACACACATCAGTTTTAGTACAAAGACGAATACAATTTTTACATAATACAGAACGATTTCGATTATCAATACAAAAAGAATTTTCATTAAAACTATTACAATCAGTACGAGAACTAGTGACACAAATCCCTGCGCCTCGCACGGCTGCGGGGTTACCTCGAACACTGTGCGGCGACGACGCGTGTCGCTCGACGCTTGGACACGTAGGCGCACCCGCTGTACCGCCAAACATCACGCTACCTCGCGGCAGCGGGGTAGGCGCATGGTGCGGTCGCGGCGCGCTGCCGTCGGAGCCGGAGCGTATGTCGCTACGTACGCGCGGCGTACGGTGCGACCTGAAGCAATCGGTAGGTGCACGAGAATCACGTGCAGAAGTAAGCGAATAAAATGCTGAATGTCCATTGTTTTTCACATTATTGGCATTACACTTCGGGCACTTTGACTTTATTATATTCGCGGCACCACAACCATAACACTTAATGTCTTTTTTAAAATCACTGTTTGATTTATTTTGGTCACTATTCTTCACTAATTTCTCGCACGTTTCCTTTGTGTGACCGCTACGTTTGCAGTAAACACAGAACAACTTGGTGGTCCCTGTCTTTTCTGTCGCTGAATCGCCCATGCGACCAGAAGCGACAACAGCGGACGACCGGGAAGCAGTACTCGACGTGTAGGTACGAACTCGCGCTGGCTCGGCCGAGGCGGCGACGTTTGACCTATCTTCACTATGAGACGACGGCTTAAGACAAGGGCGACCGTTTTGTGACTCATTTAAGGAGTCTTCTACGGCGCGTGCCTTTTTCAACAATTCCTCGAACGTTGTAACCGTAGCTCTGTCGACGCGCTTCCTGATACGACGATCCAATAATCCGTAAGCCATGTCCAACTCGACGCGTTCGCATAAATCTCCTTGTGGTAACTTCGCGAACAAGGCACGAACTTTTGATATAAACAAATCCGTGTTTTCAGTGCCTTGTATCTGTGAAAACAGTTCGATATAAATGCGAAATGGTGGGCGACGCTCGCCATACGCACTTCGTAATCGCGTGATGGCTTCTTCCCACGTTTTTGTCGTGCCCTTAACACCTTGCCACCATGTTCCCGCCGATGAAGTGAGCAGCATCGACATACCTAAGAGAGCGTTCTCGTCGCTTATGTTTAGGCATGACTTGTAAACCTCGATTGCATCTATAAAGTTGTCAACGGATTCCTCCGGACTGCCACTAAACTTTGAAGTGCATTTCGAAAAATTTGCTGTGGACTTCATAATAGCCGCAGCGGCGTTGGCGGTGGCGACAGATGTACTTGCGTCGGCTGACGAAAGCAATGGCGTCGACGAACGAACTTCGCGTAAAAGTTGTTGACAAAACTCTGCTTGCGATTGTTGGATTGACGTCAGCAGCTTGGCAAGGACGTCTTGTGGCATCGTTATGTTGCTTGACTGTTCCGGTTCGGAGTCCTCGTGTACAGACTCGTTGGCGTCGGTATATAACGACTTGCGTCTTCGCGGCATTTTGCAAACCAATATGTACCTACTTTTCGACAAAGGTAACAAAAGTACGGCTCGTGGTTGTACCAACCAGCAAAAACCACTCGTAGACACAAAACAATAGCAAAGTCACTGTCCATACACAGTTTTTAGCACTTGTCGGTCGTTTTATACCTAACTTTCGACATGAACGAACTTGCAACGAACGAAAAAAGTTTGATCCGCGAACAATAACACTTTGACCCCTTGTTTTATACTAAACACACGTTGGAGCGCCAGGATGTAGTCGGGGTGGGTCGGTTACAGTGAAAAGTCCTGTTACGCGGCATAAACTTTAATAAAACTATCTAAAAATTACAAGAGACACACGCACAAAACTGTAAAGTCCGCCATAACTTTTCTAATACTCCGTCGGCCAATCAGCGGCCAGTAACATAACGCCACTTGGCGCGTATTTTAAAATGCTATCGCGCTGGCGAATAGCGGTCGGGCGGCTTGCCCCTATTGGACCGCTTACGACCAGGGCTAATGAGACGTTCGGAAACGTTATCCGCTATAAAATTAATACAATTATTTAAGGAGATTTGTTATTTGCTCTTGTAGAAATCGTAGCCTCTAAAGCACTAGGGTTAATCATAAACGCATTAATAATAACATTTACTTATTTCCTGGTACAATCTTTAAGGTAAAATGTCCTACAGGCTTGGAGTAAGTCATTTGTGAACTATGTGGATCTGAGGACTCGGATTCAATTTAAACGTTAACATGATATATTTACTTGTCATAAGGCCGATCGGTGTCTATATAGTCGTTTGTCTATTTTGCAAAAAGTTTGTAAGTTTTTTATAAAACGTTTAACTGAATCAGTGCTACCATGACCAACCATATGATTATTATAATAAGAATATGTATTAATATATTATTGTAATCTGTATGCATACGTTATATTATATGTATGTGTCTCGTATTTTTTATATAAAATTATGCTTGTTTGCTTTTTGCACCAATCATTGGCTCATCTCTGCATCACCCAAGGCTCGACTGGTAGAGTTAACCTAAAGCATCAAGTCCGCCTATGTACCCACTGTGCATGAAATGTAAAATAAATACATACTTTTATTTTGTTTAAATTATAATTGCGCTCTGTGAGAAAGGGCGTCAAATGAGCAGTTATGTCATCTGATGGTAAGCTATCGGTGTTATTCACAGACGCCTGTAACAACGGAAGGCTTACAAATACTTTCAGGGCGTTTGGAGATCGTTAGGAATTTGGCTAATTGGGAACGATTTGGCCTTAAATGACAGAACAGCAGTGAATTCTAATTGCATCCAATAAGCGTCCATATACGGAGGCTGACTGGCAAGTGTCGAAGTGACGACTTAGTAAGGGAGAAATGTGAGTGAACGATCTATTTCACGCCTCAGCCCCCACAGGAGATGCTTTAGGGATCGCGAGACGATCTCTGGTCATTGTCAGTGCTAGTTTGCGGCGGCAAGTAAGAGTTGTTGTCCAACGAGAACCAGATCAGAGTGTTAGCAAGTAGCCATCAGAACACTAAGATTTTTTTGCATTCTTGTACGGATATCGGCACCAGTGCAGGGCGCACTAGTGGGTGTATTAGTTGGCGCGGTAGCAGGGCAAACAGACTTGCCGGGCAAATTAAAAAAAAAGTCGTTCCACGATCTGGCGAGCAGGGAAGGTTATTTCATCAGTATTTTTCCTCCTTAGTTAGTTTCGTTAGCATCTGCTTCGATACGTTACTGGCAATATAAAGATGGTGTCCGAGTGAGGCAGGCTTTGAAATTACGATCGATTTTTATAGTTCGGCTATACCTACAGAATAAACTGCACAAATAGTTAGATCTGCTAAAAAATCTATTAGATATTTTTGGACTGTTTAAGAGCATATTTATTTAATCTATAACTTAGTAGGTATATCTTAGGAAAATAACAGACTAATATTACGAGTAAGTTAATGCAAGAGGATCAACCAACTGATGGGTTTAGTATTCTTATACCGTCTCTTCAGCATAAGAAAATAAACGCAGATATATAATTCATTAGTATGCGAGAGACAGAGCATTCCCTGAACATTGATGCGGAATGAGAACAAAATATCTTTGAAGTAGGACACATTACAACTTGTAATAAAACCTCCATGGTATTTCTTATATCAATAGAAAATGTTAAAAGCGAAATTCCCCATAGTCGTAGCTCTATCCTTAGGGAAATATAAAAATAATAATATGTTCCATGTCATGTCACCCTCATGGCGAAAATGTAGCGATTTCGTCATTCGAACGCGAATGTCGCAAACTTGGCTGTGTTCCAACAGACCTCAACGATAAATTACCTAATAATCTAACTAATATTTATCAATACACCTAGTACTTACTAAAGTATATTAAATACTTGCACTGATGGCTTTCTTCTTGTTACATATTTCGTATAATATTTGATATAAATACAGCATTTGAACGGATTATACACTTCTAAAAGAAACTGAAGTTCTCTAATTAACATAGTACCTATTTTGTATAATATATTAAGTCTCCAGGTGACTAAAACGAGTGGTCGGCGGGCCCAGCTAGCCCATTGATGAATCGGAAGCAATCAACTGTACAATTAGTTAATAAAATGAAGCGCTGCAGCATTGTCTAGCCGAGGCAAGGCCAGGGCCGTCCATTACCGAACGGATGTAGGAAGCGCCACATCGCTAGTTGCTCACTAGACGTCGCGCGGTGTGTTTATCGCTACACATAATTAAAAAGAATACGACGTTCTATTTTCAATTTTCGCGGCATTACAAAATTTTATTTTTATCTATGTGCAAAACAATCATGGCGTCGCGTTAAAATTGTTCCAAAATTAAATTCAACCTTATAACTAAAATTATTATGTACGTACCTAAGTTTTGATTGCTCTTGGCACATAAAAATGATATTTTTAAGGAAATATAATATTCAAGGTCGACAATTTAGAAGGTGATTAAGTGTTGTATAGCGTGTTTTAAATAACGATTAAATGAATAGCGCATTCAATGGGCAGTTGGAAGTGTCTTTGAATAAAAATAGACTATACAAATGCATCAATTCGTTATAATTAAAGTGTATGTAAATAGATCAGTGAACGAATGATTGTGATCGAATGGAACCGTATACACTTGGGTAAACTTTAAATACAAATTGTGTATTTTTCATTATATTTTTTGAGGATCTACGTGCACATATTTATCTTTTTGTGTTATATCTTTGGTGAAATAAAATGTTGTTATATTTGTGACGTTCAATAGCGGCAAAAATGTTGGGTTCTCGTAAAATATTTATAGTGTTCCCGATTTGTATGTGGTGACACGATTCCTGGGTTATTTTTGTTCAGCTTGTTTTCGGATCTCATATTAAATGAAACGGTAAGTGTTTTGCTGATAGCGTAATGTGTTATGTTCCTGGCTTTTAGCGAATTATCTATAGTAGGTAATGTTATTAACTGAGAAATATAGAATTATTTGTTTGCTTGTATTGGATATGCTCCGAAACTAATAAATCAATATTTGAAACCTGTATTGAAATTTTTTGTGGGAGTAAAGTAATATATAATTGCCAGGGCCAATAAATTATAATTTGTTTATCTTGTTTATTAATTATAAAAAAAACTGTCCAAATTTTTTGTTGTTCATTGGCAGAATTCGTTAGGGTGACTACAAAAATTGTGAACTAAATACGAATATACTAGGCTAGGTATGACACGGAAACTATAGTCATATTTGTTATTTGTAGGCAAGTGTTTTTCTTTATAATTTATTGATTGTTACAAATTATTTATTAGGAGATTTATACTCATTATACTTATTATTTATATTATATTATACTCGTTATTTATATTATACTTATTTTTTTAGTTTAAATTTTATTTATTATTTCAATTTTGTTAAAAAAAATAAGTTTATCTATTTACAAATATGGCAACATTGTCGCATTAAGTGGTGTACCTGTAAATATGGTGTTGTACATGAATAAATAAATACTACTTAATAAAACTTCAACAGGCCTTCCATAAAGTGTGCAAGAAAGAGTGATGGAGCTACAAAAGGTGAATAGCTCCATCACTCTTTCTCGCCCGAAAGATTTAACACGTCATGGTAGGCCCTCTATTTTTGATATTTGTGTAGGACTAGGATTTACTTGCCAAAATCCTAATCACGAGCGAACTTGCAGATGGAAAATTATTATTTGTTTTGTTTATAGAACCGCTGATTTAATTGATAACCCCGATTATCTATATTGCATTAGAAATAGATAAAGTAACTTAATTAATTTTGATTAATATACTTACGCTTAATGATATTGAATCCAAACTTATATTATAAAGGCGAAAGTAACTCTGTCTGTCTGTCTGTCTTTTCTTCACGCTCAAACTACTGAACTGATTTCTGTGAAATTTGGCAAGTACAAAGTTTGGGAATCAAAAAAGGACACAGGATAGTTTTTAAAACAAAAAAACTGTATAAAGTCATTTTTCCACGCGAAAAAAGTCGCTAGCCAAAGCTAGATATAAATATTGTACATATCTTTAAAATGTATGTCAGCATTGTTGATTTGTATAACAGAAACCGGTTACGTAGTTATTGTGTTTAGCATAGTCAATATCAAAAAAAACGCGTATTTACTTACATTACTTACATTTTGTGATTGCTTTTTATTTTACCTAAACATTTTCCCAGGCAGGGATAATAAGTAAGAGGGGATATGGTGTATAGATAATTCCAATTACCTAAAAAGACCAGCTGTAAATAAGCTACAAAGATAAGGGCAAATTCATATGATGTGACTAGGGGGAATAAGGCGAACAGGATTGTCAGACTTTTAATCACTTAAAACCATCTAACAGGTTCTCACCCGTCGCGGTACATCATTGGGCTTACAAAGATAACCCGGGCTTTGTGGGCCCTATCTGATGGCTATTTCAATGGTTGGATGAAACTTCTGTGTCTATAAGCATCTTTTTTGTGGAGGGAAAATCTCTAACTGGGTTCTCTCGCTTAGGGTATTGTGGTAGTGAGTGTCAGACTCTTACTGACTAAAAACACCCCTATTCCTTCTCCTGCATTAAGCCAAAGCCGCGGTGACTTATTGCGCTTGCCCCGCAACCCCGGCTGAACTTCAACCCTATAGAGCCCCATCTGTGGTGGTCTATTGGCTCTTTGAGGCGCACACGGAACGTTACCTACGCCGTACGCGCCGTACGCTCGGGTCTTCGTCTGATCGGGCGGCGAGCTACCCTTACTCGCCGCCCACAGACCAGCGCTTACGGCGGCCGGAGATCATCTCTCGATCCCCGACGCCCTCCAGGCCGAGGCTGCGTTACCAATTTGCGCTTGACCCGCGTCTCCTGCTATTCTGGTCCTCACAGAAAACCGGCGTGAAACAACCACAATGTTCTGTTTTGCTCTGTGAGTGAGGTTACCGGAGGCCCAATCCTTCCTCTGCTCCAATCCCTAAATGTCCAAATCCAAAAGTTCGGCAACGCACTCGTAACTCCTCTGTTGCGGGTATCCATGGGTAGCGCTGATTGTTTACTATCAGGTAAACATTTGCGAAAATTCGTAAAGTCAAAGTCGCAGTTTTTATTAATTATTAATTTTAAGCCTGTCATTGGATAACAAGAGATCTCAGAATACAGAACAAACAAGAGATTTACAATTAAGGATAATGACGCGTAAATTGATAAATTAATTTTCGTACAATGGGTCGTAAGTAATGGTGGTGGAGTGTCGATATACTTTTAGAATAATTATGTAGCGTTTTTCGAGTATTTTCTGTATAATATGAATTATAATGAAAATATGGTATTTAAATCTATATGAGAAAAAAATTAAAATTGTACTTATTACAATCATTGTTTGGCGGGAAAGCAATCGGGAAACGTTAGTTTCACTTCATAACGCACTTAATATTTAAGTCAGCTGTCAAAATATGTATCACTGACAGCTGTAGTTTACACACGTAATGACGTCATGTCCAAAAAACAATCATGGCGTCCGCTGTGTGCCGTGTTTTCGAGAAATACGCGCGAAATTTCAAATAATGTTAAAATAATTAATTAATATACGTTCACAACGCGAGAAAAAAAAAATTAAAATTTTTAGAGGTATATTAGAACTAAATAATTCATTAAAATAGATTTTAAAAATACATGTAATACCTACTTTGTTAGCGTATGTGATACGGGTTTCCACCCAGTTTTTCGAGCCCAATATCACAGAAACTACTTTAATTGTTAGCGAGATAGTTGGACCAGTACGAAGGTAAAATATTATCTAAGTTTCAGATTGACTTGACACACGTTGCTTCGTCAATGATCGAGTGGGCCTACATTTTATTACATTTTATAGCCGACAGCAAAGAGTTCATTGTATGTAGTATCATAAAAACCTTAAGCATTGACACAGAGGTATTAGCGTTCATTCTAACAACAATGAATTTATTTTTGCAAGTAGGGAATAAAACATTACATTTACGAGTCAAAATTATATAATTATATTACTAGCTGTCCCAGAAAACTTCGTCCTGCCTCGAATATTTGTTTTTTCTTTAATTAGGTCATATTCTCTGTAGTTTTAAACCTTCTTTGTATATCCAGCAACATTTCAAGACCACAATAAGCTATGTCATTTCAGCCTTTCTCGAGTTAAAGCGTGAGTAACTAACGAAACGTTGTGAAACGAGATTTATATACATTAAGATATCACTTTAATACATGTAATTGTGAATTAATATATAAATTCTAAATTAATCATGTATTGCTAATAACAGTACCTAATGCGATTTCATTCACAAGAGGATATTACCTAAATTATTTTGTTTCACTTTCAAAAGTGCTTGAATTCGTCTATCTGAAATAAATAATTTGACTTTGACTATGAGTATGTACCTACCAAATTTTATTAAAATCAGTTCCGTAGTTTCAAAGATTTTAGACTTCAAATTTTATATGTCAACTAGCGGCCCCCCCACGCTTCGCACGGGTCCAACTATTCCTCTAATAACGAAAAGGTCACTTTTCCCAGTCTTACCCTGTACTTTTCTTTCCATATCTATACTAATATTATAAAGAGGTAAAATTTGTAAGTTAGTATGTCTGTAAGTTAGTATGTATCTTTTGAACCGCTCTGGTCGGATAGCCAAAATTCTTTCACTCATACAATGTTTCTGAGTGCTATAAAACATCACGCTACGATCAAATAGAGCTGAGCAGCGGGTGATACCGCCGAGAATAGCTAGTTTTTTAATAAGCACCTTCTTCTGACTATACCACAAACAGAATTAACAAAATCTTTCCAGACGTTACTGAGTTATATGCTTACCAACACATTTACCTGTTTATTTTTACACATAAATAGACTCGTGCCGTTTAAAATAAACCCATTTAACCATTTCGGTACCTATATTTTATTTACTTCTTTGTATTACAATGTTTGTTAGAATGAATAATACAAATGTAAATTGCAAAACAGTAGGAAAACCTACAATGTATACCTGTGTAGATACATGCTCCAAAAGCATTCACACATTACTATTTAAAGTATGGGAGAGCCAAGCTTCGGCACGAATTGGTCAGCTCGACGGCCTCACCACTCAAAACCAGCGCGAAACAAACATTGCGTTGTGTTTCACCGTGTGAGTAAGGTTACTGGAGGTCTAACTCCTCCCACTCCCCTATCCCCTCCCAATCCTTGACACTTATCCCCAAAAGGCCGGCAACGCACTCGTAACTCCTTTGCTGTTGTGGGTGTCCATGGTCGGCGCCGATTGCTTACCATCATGTAATCCGTCTGCTCTTTGCCGTCTTATCCCATAAAACAAAAGAAAAAGACTTAAGTACCTACTAAAGTACCGGTACCATGAAAGCTGATAAGCAGTACTTACCTACGACGGGATCTACCTACATATTTCTCTGTGATTCTGTATGACCGTTCGCTAGACGTACAAGTCAAACGTTCTATGAGGATGGAAAATCATCATATTGCTTCTCACGTCCAGGGTAAATTGAGACTTGTTGACTTAAAACCCCTTCCTTGTCCAATACTTAGAGATTTTTGAGATTATATATTAATTGAAATAATTTATGAACTTGATTACAAAAATAGCTGGGTTGGGTTGAAAATTGCTAGCTAAGGCAACATTATTTTGCATTCTGTACAATAAAAAACATGGAATAGTTTTATAATATATGCATAGACAAAGTACTTATAAGTACCTACCATATCCAGCCATATTTTGAAGAAATATAAATAAAGTCCAAAAATGACAGACACGCTTCCGTTAGTACCGCGAAATGACCTCCAGATAGCGCCATTAACAGAAATGACCTCTTCAAAAAAAAGTTCCCATAGTAAGCCTTCACGCGATAATACGCTTTGTTTATTAAAAGATAAGGGGGATTATCCCTCTTGTTGTTCGGGTAAAGTATTTGACACTGAATTGTCTGTATTATGAGTTTTGTTAGTCATAGTGTTTGGTAGTTCGTGTTAATACCGACCGCGCCCGACGCGAACGTAAATAGAATTGACTTCTTGTACGAAATGATCCAATAAATTAGTCTCTAGCCTTGTTCTTTGCCTCAGTATTCGCTATTTTCTTACATGACGATTTAATTGCTGTATTTTCGTCGATTTTTCATGAAATAGGCGGCAATCGGACGGGGCACCTGATCGGCGCCGTCCATGGCCAACTTTCTTGTAGGTCTGAAGGTCGTATCGGTTCGGGAATACCGGAGGCCCAATCCTTCCCCTCCCCCATCCCTCCTAAATCCCTAATCCCTAAAAGGTCGGCAACGCACTCGTAACTCCTCCGTTGCGAGTGTCCATGGGCGGCGCTGATTGCTTACCATCAGGTAATCCGTCTGCTCGTTCGCCGACCTATTAAATAAAAAAAAAACCGCGGCTGGAACATCATTCTAAAGGTTTGCTGTGCGGACCAGAAATTTTCGCGTGAATCGCACAGTTGTTGATTGCCAACCATCTATGACTATGTGATGGGGATGAATACGCTTTTGCGTAGAACAATGGCGAAAAGATGCAGCGGGGATCAAACTGAACAATTCCTCAGAACAATCCTCATGATGAATGCGATAGAGAACACATAGCGAGGCTACATCCCTACGCAGGGCCAAAGAGCCTAAAAGGTCCGACATAACAGCACAGTCAGAAATTCGGACAGCTCGTCGCTAAATGCGGTCCAGACGGAATATCTGAAAAGTGAGATGTACTACTAAACTTGCGATGTTTTTTATGAGGCTAATAGCGGCCGTAGCCGCTAAAGAATATAAATCTACGCAACATCGTAAGAGTTACTGGTGCATTTTCGGTCATTCGTGGATGGTGGTTTCGGAGATTTAGGGATGGGGAAAAGGATTGGGCAAGAGCAACGTTTGCCTCCAAAGAACTCACTTACACGGCGAAATACAACGCTATGGTTTTCCAAGCCGGTTTGTTTTTGAGTTCGTGGTATCAGTCCGGTCGAGCCGACCCATTCGTGCTGAACCATGACTCTCATACACACAATGTTTATTTAATTCCATAGTGATACATTAGGTATTATGTTTATATGTAGGTGTAATGTAAATCCTTAAACAATTATGTTATTTTCAATAAATTAGCTGTAAAAACAATTTCATGAAGACCAAAACAAATACACCTATGTACAAGGAAATATCTACTTATTAATTTACTTACATTTGCGTCAATGTATCTACTTCATGTAAGCGTCCAAATAGGACGACAAACAATATAGTTACAAAGGTACCTACAGTCATCATTTCAGAACAAACTACCAAAGAACGTAGAAAGTGTGAACTCATCCGTTTCAAGAAAAACTCTGTGATACGACATTGTTTGTTTCAGACAATTTATAACTTTTTGTTAGTAGGTACAATATAATAAGTACATAAATGTACCAAACGGAGACTGCTATACTTTTAACAGTCAAAAGTCTTATTTTCACCAAACCATTTATGTAGGTATTAAAAAAGATTGAAAGAATTAAAAAACAAATTCTACAAGTCTATCGTTCTATCTATAAGTGTAGTTAGGCTCGTGATTTTTAGTTGTTGGTACGAGGTATCACTATTGCCACTACCACAAAAGAGGCAGGCTCAATTTACCGCCATTCTGAATTCCCCGAATCGTCATTGCCAACGCCATGCTTCAGCGTGAATGGCTCGGCTCGGCTGGAGCAATACCACAGCCTCACAGAAAATCGGCGTGAATCTACCCCAGTTGTATTTTGCCTAGTAAATGAGTAAGAATCCAAACCCCAAAAGGCGGCAAGTTCCTCGTAGCTTCTCTGGTGTTGCGGGTGTGCATTTGCGGCCCTATATGTATAATTGCTTACCATACGGTCATCCATCAGCTAGTTGGCCGACCGATTACATAATAACGGTCTTGCAACGATGAACCATTCATCATCTACCATCGGGTGTGTCCAGCTCTTGTTTACCTAACATAAAAAGCTAATTTCCTAATGCATTGCTAGTTAAAAAGAAACGTCTGTAATATATTAGCTCTTGTCCAGGAGCTTGTCACATAAATGATAAGCGTATCACATGAATGAAAAATTACAACTACACAGAAAGATTGGGTTACCTATAGCGCTGTATGATATGAGGCGCCATGTAGAGAATTTGGCCGCCATATGTCACCCATAAACCTTGTTATGATCAAATATATTTGCTCATACTAAGTCCATACATGACAATAATATAGATTTGGTTAACGGTAGATTTGGCCATAGAATAAAACTGTTATACGATTTTAAATGTAATACATATATAATATCAAATGATTACATATCATCTAGACTGGTCTTATTATTATTTCACAAGTGGAAAGTCTTAATAAACGGTGCCATAGCCGACAGTGTTGGCCATTTTATCATCATCATCAAAGTACCAGCCAAGGGACAGCGAACTTTGAACATAGGGGTTCTTTTATGATATCCCGGGGCCCTATAGGGCTGACGTTCAGCCGGGGTTGCGGAGTAAGCGCATCGGTATCGGCCTAGAGCAGGAAAAGGAACGGGATGGTTTTAGTTACGATTTTCCCCTCACAAAAGAAACCTTTGTGGGACATTCTGGCTTGCGTTTGAAATTAACCTAAAACTTTGCAACCGGTGTAATACAAGACACTGCTCGAACGCCGGTGTTCTCTTAGAGTTTGATGTATAAAATTTATATTCTAAATACTTAAGTAATTATTTGTTTGTTCCCAGTTCCGATATGCCACTACCGTTGCTAAGGACGTGTTGCGGTTGCATTTCTGTGCGCACAGGCTGCTTCATACTATGTATCATGTCCACAGTAAGTACATTCTGTTTATTTCTTTTCTTGTGTTTCTTACTTTTACAAATAGTTGTGATGTGCACCATTACTTTATCCTATTAAGTCTATGTAATTTAATTTTATGTGGATGATTAATTAAATCTTACTATAATATACTGTACTATAATAGTATAAATGCAAAGTTACGATGTTTGGATGTCTGTTACTCAATCACGCCAAAACGGCTGGTCGGAACTGGATGAAAGTTAGCAAAGGCATAGTATACACTCCGGAATAGGACATAGGCAACATACTACGCGGGCTAAGCCGCGGGCAGAAGCTGGTTAATAATAATATACGCTTGCCACTTTGTCAGAGATCACAATTTAGCAGTGAGATTTATCAAAGACCGGTCCTGCCCGTCTTCTCCTAATTTTAACATTCTTTCTAATCATCGACTTTAATATTTAGTATTTAATATGTTGGACACAAAATAAACACTATTTTACCTTATCGTACCAATAAATTTAAACACATTCTTAACAACTGACTGCACGGTTGGCGCGGTGGCTGGGCAACTGGCTGCCGCGCAACGTGTCGCGGGTTCGATTCCCGCACGGAACAACTCTTTGAGTGATCCACAGATTGTTGTTCCGGGTCTGGGTGTGAAATTCTATGTTTGTAGACGCACCCACGACACAGGAGAAAATCCTAATGTGGGGCAACGTTCTTTTTAAAAAAAAACCGTCTTCTAATTGTTTCTCTAACAAAACTCTCATCGATCAATCATAAAAGTATCCAAGTACATAATATTGGTCAAGCTGAGCAATCCAATAAAACTTTGACTACGTGATTAATATGCTGGCGAGTCCCGTCGTTATGGGGCGCTCCCAAATATAATCACATTATTTTGTTTACGCCCCTACGAACTTCTGACGTCACCCCCTACGTCAGAGACACGTAATGTTCGCAAGTTTCTGGACAATTCTATTACATAGAGAATATTGTATGAGTTTTTGTCTGCGCTTGTAATTGTGTATATATTAAGTATTTATACCTAGTCTAGCCATAAATACTGTAACAAATAAAAAAATATTTTTTCTATTGCAAATAACATTTATTACTTTTACAGTATGTAAGTTTAATACATAAATATAAAACAATTTAAAACAATCAATCATATAGGTATATTTTTTATAATAAAGTTATTATTTTGTTTCATTTTAATTTCTTTTTTTTCTGTTACGTACTGTGTCTTATATTTTAATTATATTTCCTGTCTCAGGTCTGCTGGAAGGAATTCCAACAGGAAAAAGTAGCACCTATGTAATCTTATTTTATATACTTATGTATTTTCCTCTAGCTGATTGTGTGTACATAAATTATTAAATAATTAAATATGTGTACTTGGTAACCTACACAGACTTCCTCCGATAAATAATTTTACTCATAGTAGATAGTATATGACAAGTGTGTTCATCATCGTCGTCATTGGTCTGTTTTATTATTGTATTATTAATATAATGTCTTGAACTCCTGCCTCCTGTAAATAATTTGAGAAATGTGGTAAGTTGATAATTTCAAAATAAAAAAATAAAAAAATATGTATAGGCCGGCAAACGAGCCTGCAGCTCCGCCGCTCATAGCACCCGCAACAGACGAATTACGAGTGAGTTGCCGACCTTTTGGAGAATAGGGATCTTAGGATTATTTTAAAAAAAATCAGGGTTTGGGGAACGATTGGGGGAGGGGAAGGATTGGGCCTCCGGTAACCTCACACCTCAGAATACTGTTCTATATTCTGAGCCTCACACACAGTCGGTCGGTTTTCTGTGAGGCCTTGGTATCACTTCGGTCGAGTCGACCCATTCGTGCCAAAGCATGGTTCTCCCACACTTAAGATATGTTTCTTAAGAAATCGAATGCTCGCGTGTTCCAATGAAATATATGTCATGCAAATATGACAGGTCCGTTACATACCTTACATTATTTTATACCTACCTTGGTGCGTCAAAGATTATAGCACATTATGGCTGTGTAACGTCGGTGATTACATACGGACGGTAATCATCAATACACACGTGCATCACACGTTTGTCAACACACTTCTGAATAAAATAATTCTAAAAAACTTCAAAAGAGAGAACAAGATGAGTGTAAAAAAAATATATCGTAATGTCGGGAAAAAATAATCAGCTTTCCTAAGCGCGCGCATCGGCCATAGACTAAAAAATGAAGTTTCTTATTTTGGACTTTTCGCGGATAGTATTTTAGCGTAAGTTTAAGCGAAACTCAAACGATAATTTAATAAAAAAAAACTTCATTACTCACTCGTGAATGAAAAAGTCACAGTTTGATTATAGGTGTCATTATGTGCCTAATTGCTACCTATTGGAGTCGATGGGATTAGAGCTACCTACTTCATGAGGAAGTGTGTTGAAAATTCATTTATTCTTTTATTTTTATTTTTATTTATTAGGTCTACCAACAATGTTGTACATAAAAGCATGCAACAACAGTAATTACAATTAGGTAATCTATAAGGTACAATGCAAACATTACTTAAAGGTAAACACCGCATACCAAAAAGAATAAAAGAGAATCTTAAGACTAAACTAAAATAAATAGAGACTTAAAACTAAATAAACTTTACAAGAAAAATGAGATAAAATAAATTAAATTATAAATAAAGCTGAAGTACAACTAACTAAAAAACTAACTTAATATTACTTAAAATGCGTTTTTTCATATGCTTGGAATCAAAGTGAAAGTCAATCCTGTCACTGAGACTGTTCACAATAATAGACAGTCTCGCGCATGGAGAATTAGAACCTAAAACTGTCCTTCTTAGAGGTGGACAGAGCGGTGTGATTGGTTTGCGAGGGATCCTAGATGGGACATTGAATCTAATCAAAGCCAGTAACCTTGGACAATCAATTTGGTGTTGGAGGATCTTAGATGCAAACATTGCCTCATTGATCCTTGTGCGATGCTCCAAAGTTTCCATATTAATGCTCTAAGCGGCATTTGTAAGAGCTATTTTCTTCGTGAGCATTGGTTATAGTCATAAATAGAATCTATATCTATAGACGCGTCTCGGTTTATTTTTTAAGTTACATTGCAAGTTTTCGACACTATGAAAACTATGAAAGAAGGGTATTGTTAAAAAAATTTGAATTTTGGATTTGATTTATAATTTTTTTAAGTATCTAATAATTATGAAGTTTAATCGATTATAATAAAATACTTTAATAATTTTAACTTTCTTAAAATATTTCTATGAAATTATGTTGTAAGATTCAAAGACAATGATGAATGATGTTTTAAATGAATAATGAAATGAAATGAAATTATATCGATTTCTGTTAATAGGCTACAAAATAACACTTACTCGTCAATATTTTAAACTTAACATCATTAATTATTCTGCGGAAAATCCCTGGAACGTAATCAAAGGTCATAAGTCATAGTACACCAGGACAACCGTGAAATAAACTAGAAGATCCGTGTAAGCTCATTCTGTAAAGGTATTTTCATGAAATTAATCAAATGTTTCAAAGTAACTGTAATATGCAATAAATAACTACAACTTAAACCATAAAGTAATTGCAGACAATTTATGTGATTTTTTATGTAATGGCCGGGCAAACAATCGGACGAATTACCTGATGGTAAGCAATCAGCGTCGCCTATAGACACCCGAGTTATGAGTGCGTTGCTGACCTTTTAGGGATTAGGAATTTGGAGATTTGGTATTGGGGAGGCATTGAGAGAGGGGAAGGATTGGGCTTCCGGTAACCTCACACAACACAACGCTGTGGTTGTTTTACGCCGGTTTTCTGTGGGGCCGTGGTATCACTCCGGTCGAGCCGACCCATTCGTGCCGAAGTATGGCTCTACCACAATTTATTCAAACGATTTGCATTGTTTGTTAGACACACAATGCATGATTCATTGAATTATCAACAATATGATGTTATTATTAAATGCTCATCACGTATTCTGTTAACATACACATACGCAACAAAAGCATTCAATACTTAATTAATAATATGTAATTAAAAGTCAAAGTCGAAGGCAAAAATAATTATTACAACTAACCATATTATACATGTGTTTTTTTTACCATTGACCTATACTAGGATTTTCTCCTGTGTCGTGGGTGCGGTTACAAACATACAATTTCACATACACATCATACCCAGACAAGGAACAACAATTTGTGGATCATACAGAGTTGTTCTGGGAATCGAACTAGCGACCCGTTGCACGGCAGACCGTTGCCCAGTAACCGCACCAACCGTGCACTCAATTGTAATGTCGCTTGTGACACGTTACCAATTTACTCGTTGTGAATTGAGAATTATGTCATGATCTCAACAATGTGGAATCCCCGACTGTGGGATTTAATTGGCGACTCATCTACTCATATAACTCACTTACCTACTTATTACAGTTTACTTAGAAATAGGTTAATCGGTACAATAACCCTTGTTGCTAATTTGCACTAAATGGTACATTCGTAAAATTTTGAATCTCAACATTTTTTGACGAAAATACAGGTGTGTCAAGACAATGAACGAAATACTTTATTCTTTTATTTTTGTTTGACGTTTAAAAGTGCCTACTATAGTTATGCGCTTACCAACACTTAAAAAACTGGAAAATTCAAAAGGGGGGAATTTAAAGAAAAGAGTTTCTCCACTGTAGGATATTTTCATGTGTTGTGCGTGCATTTAAAAACATACAATTTCACAAACACATCACACCCAGACCTGAAACAACAATTTGTGGATCAAACAAAGTGTTGCCTCGTGCGGGAATCGAACCCGGCGGCAACACGTTGCACAGCAGCCAGCCACCACGGCAATGGTGCCGTCATTTTTTATCACATCATCAGCCTATTAAGTGCCCACTACCGAGCAAACGCCTCTTCTCACACGAGAAGGTTTGAGCATTAATCACCACGCTTGCTCAAGGCCGATTGGCGACTTATAATTAGAAACTTACTATTAGAAATTATAATGGACTTATAATTTCTAATAGTAAGTTTCCTCACGATGTTTTCCTTCAATGCATGTCAGTGGCGTCTAGATAGTCATAAGTACTAGCCAGGTTTCGAACCCGCACCTGGCAATGCATGAACATATGCATAAGAAGTGGGCGCCTTAACCTCTGAGCCACCACTACATATTATTTTTTATTTATTAAGATTATTATCTCATTCAAAACATTGGCTTCGTGTTTACAGATGGCCTGTGCGGCTAACATAACGGCCGGAGCATGGAACCTGCCTCGACACAGAGAGAGGGAGCCAGAAGACAACCTCATATCTATGAGTATGGTGATGTTTTCCACTCTGTCAGCCATCAGCAACCTAATAGCGCTGTTTGGCATTTTATTGGTAAGACCCCTTATTATATCATCGATTTAAAAATATTAGACTTTAAACTTTCAAGTTGCATATTAATCCTTTACTGTTTTACGGGATTTAAGGCGCACGTACCTTTTATTTGATGTTTGCTCGACGTTTCGGCAGGGTTACACCTGCCATGGTCGATAAATCGATAGAAAAAGTAAAAACTAATAATCTTTTTGACTATGCTGTTTGTATAGGTATGGATAATTTTGGTTTCATTAAAAGCTAAAATTTCAAATTCAAATTAGGAAAATGTGTGATTTTAATTTGTTTTTTCTACTTTCAAGATAAGTGAATCCGATTAACAATTTACTAAAAAAAAATCGTACAAGTTGATCTATTTTGCAATAATAGTAATGGTCTACTTTAAGGATCGTGTTAACCACCACATCACTCCATAGCATAAAACAAAGCCACTCTCTCTGTCACTATTTCCCCATGTTTACTTTAAACTTTAAAACTACCCAAGGAGTTTTAATGTGGTCCATGGGCGGTACTGATACCTACCACCAGGTAATCAGCCTGCTCACACCACGCCTGCTTTGAAAAATTAAAAAAAAATATCCCATTTTGTTTCCAGAAACATCCATCCAAGTTGCAGTGGTCGCTAGTGTTCAACTCAGTATTCATATTCTGCATATTCCTTGTGGCCATCGTGACCTGTCTCTTCAGGCTGGATGACTTCCTCAAGGTGCCAGGTCACATCGTGTTGGTTGTGCTGCTACTGATTGCTGGAGCCTGTAAGTTTTTTTCTTATGGGAGTTCCCTTGGCTGACGTACAGGTGAATCACCTGATGACTCAAAGCACAGAGATGAATCAAAGCTGACCAGGATTACAAGTGCGTTACCAAGGCTTAAGTCATTCAGTCTCCTGCATTAAAATTACTGGGGCTAACGAAAACTATTTAGTTGTTTTCTTCTCCTCAATTTATATTTTCTGATTTATTTTCTTGCACCGGACTTCGGTGTTTCAGTGTTTCCATGGTTGTGTCTACTGTACATCCTGACTTACAGGATTTAGAGCGTTTTTGGGATGTTGTAGCGAACTTGTACCAAAAAAGTGCGTTGCCAGATTAATAAAAATGGAGCTCCAATCTTATTAGTCACTGTAGACCTCTTCCTTGATAAAGTAGATAGATCTAATGTCACATTACCCAAACGTGTTGCAAACTTCCAAGTTTCTGTTACTGAGAATTGTGTTTAGCATAAAAGAACTTCATAACCAACCAATTACAATTAGGTCTACTGCTGGACATTATCCAATACTAACTAAATAACTTTTCATTTTCCAGTGTACTCCATATACTACCTGGTGATGATCAACAGCCTCTACAGGATCATGAAGATGACATATGGAGGGAGTGCCATTCCCATATGAAAACAACTTAATAGTAAAGCCATTTTATTAATTGATTATATTGACATCAATTAAAGGAACCAGCAGGTCAATCTCCCCGAATTGTTCAAACGTTTTTAACTAAACCATTTTGTAATAAGTTCGAAAAATCCTCGAAAAAATTGTCAGATTTAAGCATATTGATCTGTTGGTGTTGTTACTCGTCGTACTCAGAACCTGATTAACAAGAAATACAAACTTCGTGTATCGATATGTTGCGTAATTACTCAAAAACTGCTATAGAGTTTTTAATGTTTGGACCTTAGTACATAAAGATCTTCTGTATCGTCGTTTGCAATTATTTTTTCTATACTTACGCCTGTAATAATATGTCATCATCATCATCATCAGCCTATAAGTGCCCACTGCTGAGCAAAGGCTTCTTCTCACACGGAGAAGGTTAGAGCATTAATCACCACGCTTGCTCAATGCGGGTTGGCGATTTCAAACTTATAATTAGAAATTATAAGTCCAGGTTTCCTCACGATGTTTACCTTCACCGTATGTCAGTAGTGTCTAAATAATCATAGAAAGTACATATAACTCGGAAAAAGTCACATTGGTACTTGCCAGGTTTCGAACCCGCACCCTCATGCATGAGAAGCGGGCGCCTTAACCTCCGGGCCACCACGACATTACTGTACTGTAATAATATGTACTTACATAAAACATCTTAAAAATGAGTTGAAGTTACATTTACTGCAACGTTTTTCAATTTACCATTCTCATAAAAGTCATCAAGTAAATGTTTTTCAATAAAACTTTATGTTGAGTGATTATTTTTAAGCATTACTTCTGAGTGCGACCATTTGGAGATCGTCATTTTTTTTAAATAACACATACTGGTGAAATGGCATCCAAACTCGTAATTTCGTACTGAAGTTGGACAATAATGACCTTGACTTAGGGCTGATTTTTCAATGGTTAGATAAAAGTTACCTCGGGAATAGTAATGACGGTGTTGCGTCAGAATGTTTGTATAAGACAGTGACAGCAACAATTTTATTCCTCAGATAATATTTATCTAATAAGTAAGTTTTCAGTACGGAACTCAAACAAGCGTTTTTATTTGGTGAAATGTTCCTGTATTAAAATATTTAAATAACTATACTATTATACTTAGTTATAAACTTATTATACAGCTGAACCGGCAAACATTGTACCTATGGGGTATGAAAAATTACTAGTTGCCGAATCTCAGATCAACTGAATACGCATAAATATAAAATTTGGTAAAAATCAGTTAATCCGTTTCGGAGGAATAAGGTGACATTGTGTGTGACACAAGAACTTTATTTAATCAATCCAATTTCAGTAAGGGCTGATTTTTCAATGGTTAGATAAACGTTATCTAAGGGAAAAATATGATGCTGTCGCGTCAGAATGTTTGTATAAGACAGTGACAGCAATAATTTTATTCCTCAGATAACATTTATCTGTCTGTTGAAAAATCAGGCCTTAAATAAAATTAGGTATTTTGGATGTAATTCTGTAATTTTTGGTTTAAGCTGAGAAAAATTGTAAACATTTTATATGGGTTATGGACCGGAATTAAATGATATTTATTTTTTATTTTATAAACCAGAAGATATATAAGTTAATATTATTTTCGTTTTATAGTTATATTTGTCTCAAACACAGCTTACAAATTGCAACATTTAATTTCCTAGGAATCTAGTCTTTGTGGAACTTAGGAAGCAGGCCAGTTACCTAGTACAAGTCTAGTAAAGTATAAAACCTAGTTTACTTGTGTTTGCATGTCCAATGGTCGTAAAGCTATTTCTTTAGCTATCTTTTCTATGATTCTTATCAGCCGAAACTTATTCCTCATACCGTTTGTAATGTAAGTAGACATTGCTACAAAATATTAAAAGATTGTATTTTTTTCTGTGTACGTTGTCAACTTGTATAAATATCTGTCCTAAGAGTACCGTCCCGTGTTTGTTCAGATACGATAATACTAGTTAGACTTTCTATTTACATTTTCCGATTTTATGTTTTCATAAGAACACAGCACTGTCAGTACAGTCCTCGCAAGACGTCATGAATTCGTGACCAAACGACAATGAAAAACCGTTTTATATATACTTAGTCGGGTCATAAGTTCTGTCAAAACCTTATATTTTTAATTTTCGATTACTGGCCAGAAATTCTTCGACTTATTTTAAAAATAGAACTTTCGCGCTTGTAGAAAATAAAAAAGAAATTATTTTTTATTCATTTTTAAATATGGAGTGGTCGAATAAAGAAGACAGAATCGCGGTTATCGCGTTGCACCGCTGTGGTTACGCGCCAAAAGACATTTTCAATATTCTTCAAAATTTGAAAATAACGTTACGGTTTGTTTATCGTACTATCAAACGATACACCGAAGAGTCAAGCTTCGAAGATCGTAAGAGAAGCGGCCGACCTCGCACAGTTCGGACACATAAGGTCATCAAAGCAGTGAAGGCGCGAATCGAACGAAATCCCGTACGTAAACAAAAAATCCTAGCTCTGCAGATGGGGCTAAGCAGAACCACTGTTAAAAGAGTACTAAATGAAGACCTGGGACTACGAGCTTATCGTAAAAAGACAGGACATTTTTTGAAAGAGCGTTTAAAAAAAATTAGGCTAGACAGATCCCGCGCTTTGCTACGACGGTACGCGGGAAAAAAATACCGCGAAATTCTTTTTTCGGATGAAAAAATTTTTACTATTGAAGAAAGTTTTAACAAACAAAATGATAAGGTGTATGCCCACAGCAGTGAAGAAGCAAGCGCGCGTATTGCGAGGGTCCAGCGTGGGCATTACCCTTCCTCATTCATGGTTTGGCTTGGAGTCTCATATTCAGGCGTAACTGAGGTGTTTTTCTGTGAAAAAGGTGTGAGAACTAGTGACGAAGTTTATCAAAATACTGTCCTAACAAACATAGTGGAACCTCTTTCTCAGACAATGTTCAGGAACAGGCATTGGATATTCCAACAGGACTCTGCACCGGCTCATAAGGCACGAAGTACGCAAGACTGGTTGATCGCTCGTGGAATTGACTTCATCCGGCATGAAGACTGGCCCTCTTCTAGTCCAGATTTAAACCCACTGGACTACAAGATATGGCAATATTTGGAGGAAAAAGTCTGTGCTAAACCTCACCCGAATTTGGAGTCTCTCCGAGCATCTCTGGTTAAAGCAGCGGCAGACATAGATATGAATGTGGTGCGTGCAGCGATCGATGACTGGCCGCGTAGATTAAGGGCATGTGTTCAAAATGGGGGAGGGCATTTCGAATAATGTAAATAAAATTATATTGTACATTTAATGACCTTTCATTTCATATATAATTTTTAAATAATTGTCAAAAGGCGTATAAGTTATTACATCAAAAGTTTGTGACAGAACTTATGACCCGACTAAGTATCTTTTATCTAAGAAATAATGAGAAAATCTTACGTATACGACTTTTCACCCTGGGGTAGCGGTTGCAAGCACGATTTTGCACTGCGGGCCCGGATTTTGTAGAAGAAAGACCGGGGTGGATTTTACCCAGTAAGGATTTGGTGCTCCCTCTTGATCCACTTAGGGCGTGAACAATGATATTATAAGTAAAAAGGTGCAGATAGGTTACAAGCGCTCAAGTGATACATTAAAATGTGGCTAACTAGCCACACTTTTTTCATACTTGTCTCTTTTTCACTCGCGATTATTGAATCATGCCATCTCACTTTGACGTCTAAACATACGAATTGTTCATGTGTGTATCAGTGTGTCGTTTTTGAAAATCGAATTTTGTTTAGGTAACGTAACCTATCTACACCATTTTACTTATAATTGGCGCGAAAAGACATTTAAAGATGTTGCCCTCGTAAAAAAGACAAGTCAAGAAGGTTTTAAATAAATTAATGAAGTAGGTACTTACAGCTGTATATGTTTGATGACTCAACATGGAACAACCAAAGAACAAGAGTTATTTACTACTCCTATTTATGTTACATAAGATATAAGTACATATTGTTGGAATGTTAAAATGTATGTTATGTATTTATTATTACTTAAGCTTGTTAAGAGGATTCCCCTCTTACGTCTCATTATCGATGGTCATTATTGAGGAGTAAGAGTATGGAGTATGGCTAGCAAACTGATATTTTAGACAAATAATTATTATGTGTTAAACATGGCTTACGCACGGCTGTTTGTCAAGGTAACTTGACTACTTTCAAGATACGCTAGGAGCTCATATTCATGAACAGTATAGAACGCGATGTTGCGCGGTTACTAACGTAAGTCGTCAAAATTTAATATATTACCTACCAAAGTCATAACTCATAATATTATTAATAAAAAGAACAATCGAGTCATCAGCAATAACAATGTATGGGTTTGTCGTAAAAATATTGACAAAGCTACACAATCACAGATTAGGTATCTACCTATATTGAAAATTGTCTTCTCCTGTCAATAACAAACACAACAAAAAGAATTGGCGAAATTGGTGCAGGCGCTTACCAAACCATTTTGCGATTGATTTATATATTTACCTACCTATATAACAGTATTTAGTATACTGGTGACTATGTACAAAAAAATGCTATTTATTTCAGTTCTTTAAGCAAAATTTGTTTGATGTACTTATACATACATGCTATGTGCCTTTGTCTGTGTAACTATGTAACTATACTTTACTATTAAGCTAATATTATAATCGTGTATTTGTTTTTATTTTGTATTAAATGGAATGATAAATCGCTGTGAGGTTTGTGGAATAGTTAAAGGACTATATATTGTATATTTTTTATGCTATAGTTATTTAAGGATAACTCTGAAGATGGGTGATCTGTAATGCTAAAGAGTTGGACCTTATCTGGTAGCACGGAATCGCATTTATTCCACCTGTGCTACCACGTGCTGCAGGTATGCTGCCGCATGCGATCGCGCACTATCGCATTCCGCAGACAAAAATGCGATCGCACAAAAAGGTGAAAGGATGCATTAGCATGCTGTCGCAC